AACCCCTGACCCGCGAATGGAACCCCCGTATATTAAAATTTCAGTCCGGGAGTGCCATACCCAATGGCCAAAAGGGGCTGAAGCGCCAGGCAAAGAGTGCGGGGGAAAAGGGGGCATCCCCTGCCCTCGTACCTCCCCCAAAAAATGGGAAAAGGGAAACTGAGAAAAACCAGCGTTTTTTAACGGAATTAAAAATACAAGGTTTGAATCCAAAAAGAATAGAGCCCCCCAAAACCCCAGGGGAAAACATCAAAAACCGCAGTTTAGCCCCAGGATAGAAAATCAAAGGCTTTAAATTTTGTCAAAGGACAGTAAAATCCGGGTTTTTTTTTTCCCTTTTTGAAAGAAAATGTATAAGATGGACCAAACCTTACGAACAAATCACGTCCCCTTTTCTCCCAGGGACAAAACCCATTTTTGGCCCCTTGAAATCAGGCTACGCAAATTTTTTATTGACACGACAGCTAAGAATCTTGCCAAATTTCTCTTCATTTGAAAAGAAATGGTTCCCAAAGGCTTTTTCCGGTTTTTTGCACATCAATCTTCCTTAGGAATCATAGAGATATTAGCTCTAAGCGCTTTTGGAGAGGGCAAGGAACCCTGCTAACCCAAAAAAAATAAACAGCCAAGAAGGGGGCTAACAGGGTTTGGGAAATTTATTTTTAATTTAAAAACTTGGGGAAAAACCCTCTGGACCTGGGGCCCTGGGGGGACTGTAAGATTTTAAAAAGCTGTAGGGACTACCGGTATGGGAAATCCGGCATTTAGGCTTTTCCCGCGCTGCCTCAGAAAGTCCAGGGAAATTTTTAGGTTTTTTAAAAACATGGGCCCCTGCCCGAACCCCCAGGGAAGGGGTCCTGTTTAGCCCAAAGGCGTTAGAAAAGTCCGCAAAACGGGAAAACAATCCCGGGGGATTAGAAAATAAAAGCCCCTCACGGGGAATTCAAATCGGGTCTTTTTTTTGGGGATTTTCCCCCCAGAAAAAAAGTTAAAACCTGGCCCCCCGGGCCATTAAAAACACCCCCCAAAATAAAAATTGTGTTTTTGGGCCCCAAACCCGGGCCCCCTTCCCCCCCTGAAGAGGGGAGTAGATCCAACCTTGCCGCCAGGGTATCCCCCACCCCAATTATGGGCCATGGAAAGGAAAAACTTCCAATTAGCAAACCCCAGAGGGCCCAAAAAGAAAGAACCCAAAAAGTTTGGCGCCCCCATTTCCCCCCTTTCCCCCAACCCCCCGGGCCCTTTTAAAAAACCTACCCCCTTACCGTTGGGGGGTTTTTTTTAAAACACCACCCACAGGGGGAAAAGGGCCCAAGAAACAAATCCCGAGTTTTCTTCGAAGTTTTGTTTTTTTCGAAAGATTTTTATTTGTTGGGAATTTTTCCCGAAGGGGGTCAATAAGGAAACCTTAATGCGCCAGTGAAAGGGGCGCCATACCGACCCAGAAAAAGGGGGAGGAGGGGTTCCAGGGGATCATTTCCCCACCCCGGGCGAGGAGGGAATAGTTATCCCCCCTGACCAAAGGAAGCCCGCTGAACATGCAAAATAAATGGTCAATTTTTACAAAAACTTTATAAAGGGGTTTGGGGTAGAATGTAAAGCCTGCTCAGGTTTGGGGGAAGTTTTCTCCAGACCCTCCCGCCAGCCCCGCCTTTCCCCAAAAGGAGCGCAAAAAAGTTCCTCTAGCACTAATTCCGGGAGAAGGGGCAGCCCCCTGGGCATAGCGCCTATTTCCTTGTGGAAACCAAGGGAAAAATTTAAAAAACTCCCCAAAAAAAAAAAGAAAAGACCCTTGGAGTGTTTTGGAACAATTGGGGGAAAATGAAAAAATAATTTATTTTTGAAAGCGAAATTTGGGGGTTTTAGTAAGAACAAAGGGAAAAACCCCCTGATCCCCCGAAAGGGGGCCCTGCAGAACAAGTACCTACCCATTTGGGGGCTGCTAAATTCCCCAACACAACAAAAAAGGGAAAATTTTCGCTTGAAAAAACTTTTTATTAAAACCTAGCATTTCTCAGGGCCGAGGCAAATGAAAAAGGTTTGGGGAAAATGAGGGGGAAAGAAAAAGTGGAGCAAAAGGGCTTTAAAAACCTGGCTCCTGTAAACAAACCACATCAAAATTTTTTGCGATTTTTAGGTGATGAAAAACTTTAGCCAAACTTCCCGAGGCGAATTGAAACCTTAAAATTCTGTGAGTATACATACTTTCAGAAGGGGAGGCCCTGGCGGTTTTCAGCAAGCACGCTCCCGCAAAAAAAGCATAGTCGGGCCCCCAGTTACCACTCTCATTTGGGGTTTTGGAACCCAAAATTTCAAAAAAAACCCCAAAAAAAAAAACCCGCAAAAGAAAAAAAAAAAAAAAATTAAAACCAAAAAAAAAAAAAAAAGGAAAAGAAGGGAGAAAAAAAAGAAACAAAAAAAATATATACAGCAGTACAAATTGGGGGGTCACGTCAAAAAATGACATGCATCCTCCTACACCTGAAGGAAACCGTTGGGGGGGCTCTAAACCAAACCGGGAAAAACCCCCCCCCATGGGTTTCAAATGAAAAAAAGCAAAAACCTAAGCCCCCAGGGGCCCAAAAGGCAATTAACCCCAGTATAACAGAACACCAAAGTAAAAAACTAAGAGTCCCAGAATTGGGCACATCCGCAGCAAAACCCCCCTATAAAACCCCCGGGTTTAAAATAGGGGCCCAAACCCCCCCCAGGGACGGGCCCCAGGGTGCCGTAGAACCACTACAAAAGCCCAATTGGGCCCCCCACCCACCTCCCCCAAAAAAGGGCCCAAAACCCGAACAAGGCCCAAATCCCACCCGAACCCGAGGGAAAACCCTTTACCCCATACCCAAACGGGGAAACCCCAAAAAAACGGCAAACCCCTAAACCCCAGATAGGCCAGGACAGCAAAAAGTCATAAAACCGCAGTACAGCATTTTTTTTTAAACATACCAGTATACCCTTTTCCCGTTTTTTTATGTATACTTTTACATAACCTCTGTTCATTACACAACAAATTTAAATTTTTCTTTTATTTTTATTTAGATTTTTTTTTTTTTTCATTATTTATTTTTTATTTTTTTATATTTTTGAATTTTATTTTATTTATTTTTTCACTTTTTATTTTTACTATCAGCATGCCTCCAGATCCCTTGTTTATTTGTCACACATTACACTGCATTCATTTTCCATAGTTTGATCCCGCATCTGTTCATGAATTGTGCAGTTTCCAGCATCCACTCAGCGGGCAGCTCCGGCGAAGCCCACCCCCCCCCCCCGCCCCGCGCATGGCGGTTTATCTACGATGGCGTTGTGCGCGCCTATGCCACGAAATGCAGAACACCGTGACTGGCTCAGTGAGAATGGGAAATGAGCTGGGTGAACTGCACTCTCACCATTTCCATTCTCATTTGCCCATTGCCCTGGTGGACCCGAATGCCTGGCTGTCGAGCCAGGTCGAACCAATGCCTGGATGACCTCCGGGTTGCCACGCTTGTCCGGTCCGAGACGATCCTCCCGGTACCTGATTGACCCAGTGCCTGCTGTCATTAGCCTGGTGACAAGTGATGCCGCCTGTCGAGCCAGATGATCCGCGCCAGATGGACCCGTTGCCTGCTGTCGAGCCAGACGATCCGGGTACCTGATGACCCGGTGCCGGCTGAAGTCCCGTGCCAATTGACTCAGAGCCCACTGTCAGTGCCTGGTGACTCGGTGCCCACTGCCTTGCAGATGACGCGGCGCCCGCTGTCGAGCCAAAATGACCTGATGCCTGGTGACCCGATGCCCGCTGTCGAGCCAGACGATCCAATGTCTGACCCAGTGATCCCTCGGTCATGCCAGTTGACTCGGAGCCCACTGTCGTGCCTGGTGACTCGGTGCCCACTGCCTTGCCAGATGACGCGGTGCCTTCTGGCGAGCCAAATGACCTGATGCCTGGTGACCCAGTGCCCGCTGTCATACCTGGTGACCCCATGCCCGCTGTCGAGCCAGACAATCCAATACCTGATGACCCGGTGCCTGCTGTCGTGCCAATTGACTCAGAGCCCACTGTCGTGCCTGGTGACTCGGTGCCCACTGCCTTGCCAGATAACGCGGTGACCGCTGTCAAGCCAAATGACCTGATGCCTGGGGGCCAGGTGCCCGCCGACCCTCCTGGGGGGTCCAGCGCACGCCGCTCAGCCTGGGGGTCCGTTGCGCCCGCCGCTCCGCCTGGGGGCCCGGCGCCCCCGCTCCGCCTGGTGGGCCCGGTGCTCGCCGCTCCGCTCGGGGGGCCCGATGCCCGCCGCTCCGCCCGGGGGCCGGTGGTGCCTGCCGCCCCTCCTGAGGGCCCGCCACTCCGCCTGGGGGCCCGGCGCCTGCCGCCCCACCTGGGGGACCCCTGTGCCTGCCGCTCCGCCTGGGGGACCGGTTGCCTGCCGCTCCGCCTGGGGGCCCGGTGCCTGCCGCCCCGCCTGGGGGCCTTGTCGGTTGCCTGCCGTCCCTCCTGGGGGCCCTGTGCCTCTTCCGCTGGAGTCCAGACCCGGTGTGCCTCTGCCCGGAGTCCAGCTGCCCGATATGCCCTCAGCCCGGAGTCCAGCCCGATGTGCCTCTGCCAGGAGTCCAGCCCGATGTGCCTCTGCCCGGAGTCCAGCCCGATATGCCTCTGCCCGGAGTCCAGCCCGATGTGCCTCTGCCCGGAGTCCAGCCCGATGTGCCTCTGCCCGGAGTCCAGGCCCGATGTGCCAGTCTTTGATATCCCGCCAGTTACCAGAGACCCCGGGCGGTGGAACATTTTGCCCAGCTAGGGGACTGTTTGGAGCATCCTGAGGCCGCTTGTCAGGGCTGCCGGGTATGACCAGAGGTATGTGAACTGACGCAGGGGGAAACGCAGGCTTCAGATAAGTTATAAACAATATAATTTATTAAAGACTAACAATACAAACATAAACGCAGTGCAATACTAAACATAACACAGTGCAAACGAACCAAACCAAACCACCCACAGATAACAGTACATACAATGCAAGCGTCGTCAGGCAGGCCGGGTCAAAATAACATGGCCGCTAATCGGGCAGGTAGATACAGGGGGTCAGGCAGAGAATGGTCGGGGTCACAAGCCAGGGATAAAACAGGAGAAGTCAGCAGAGGTCCGGATCAGGCAGTAGGGTCAGCAAGTCAAGAATCAGACAGAGACAGGAACAGGAACAGGGAATGCACGGAACAATGATACAAGGGCCAGGAAAAAAACACACATCCACCAAGGCAGAGGACCTGCAGGTCTGGCCATCCCTTAAATACACCTGCATAATCAACTTCAGGTGTTTGGCTGGCTGCAGGTTTGAGTCTGCTTGATTGCTGGGAGCACCCGCTGTTCCAGCCCTGGTACTTGCAGCCACAAGGCATTTGAGTCCCACCTATACTGGGAAGTCCATTCCTGACAGTTACCCCCCCCTCAAGGAGTCGGCCTCAGGACGCTCCAAACAGTCCTAGCTGGGCAAAATGTTCCACCGCCCGGGTCTGGTAACTGGCGGGATATCAAAGACTGGCACATCGGGCAGGACTCCGGGCTTTAGCGGCACCCCGGGCATGCGGGACTCCGGGCAGCGGCACACTGGGCAGGACTTTCACGCTTGGCAGCAGCACTCCCCTAACCGGGCAGAGGCACATTCGGGCAGGACTCCCCGGGCAGAGGCACATGGCGGGCAGGACCCCCGGGCAGAGGCACCATCGCGGCAGGACTCCTGGGCAGAGGCACATCGGGACATGGACTCCGGGCAGAGAGGCAACATCGGGCAGGACTCCGGGCAGTCGGCACATGATCGGGCAGGCTCCTCGGGCAGCGGCACATTGGGCAGGACTCCGGGCAGAGGCACATCGAGCTGGACACCGGGATCACCAGGCGGAAAGCAGCAGGCACCGGGGCCACCAGGCGGCAGCAGCGGGGCACTGGGCCACCAGGCGAAGCAGCGGGCACCGGGCTTCCAGGCGGCGGAGCAGCGGGCCCCCAGGAGGGGCGGCGGGCGCCGGGCCCCCAGGAGGGGCGACAGGCATCGGGCCCCCAGGCAGAGCGGCGGGCCCCCAGGCGGGGCGAAAGGCATCGGGCCCCCAGGCGGGGCGACAGGCATTCGGAGCCCCAGGCGGGGCGACAGGCATCGGGCCCCCCAGGCTGGAGGGGGACAGGCTTCGGGCCCCCAGGGTGGGGCGACAGGCTTCGGGCCCCCAGGCAGAGCGGCGGGCGCCAGGCCCTCAGGTGGAGCGACAGGCACCGGGCCCCCAGGAGGGGCGGCAGGCACCAGGCCCCCAGGAGGAGCGGCACGGGCGATGGGCCCCCAGGCAGGGAGCGGCGGGCGCCGGGCCCCCAGGTGGAGCAGCGGGCACCAGGTCATCAGGCACGACAACGGGCATCGGGTCACCAGACATCAGGTCATTTGGCTCGCCAGCGGGCACCGCGTCATCTGGCAAGGCAGTGGGCATCGAGTCACCAGGCACGACAGTGGGTTCCGAGGTCAACTTGGCATGACCACGTGCACTGGGTCAGACATTGGATCGTCTGGCTCGACAGCGGGCATCGGGTCACCAGGCATCAGGTCATTTGGCTCGACAGCAGGCACCGCGTCATCTGGCAAAGGCAGTGGGATACCGAGTCACCAGGCACGACAGTGGGCTCTGAGTCAATTGGCACGACAGCGGGCACTGGGTCATCAGGGTACCGGATCGTCTGGATCGACAGCTGGGGGCACCGGGTCATCTGCGTTGGGTCGTCTGGCTCGACAGCGGGCGGGCATCGGGTCACCAGGCATGACAGCGGGCACTGGGTCACCAGGCATCAGGTCATTTGGCTCGCCAGCGTCACCACGTCATCTGGCAAGGCAGTGGACACCGAGTCACCAGGCACGGACAGTGGGCTCGAGTCAACTGGCATTGACCGCGGGCACTGGGTCAGACATTGGATCGTCTGGCCTGACAGAGAGGGGGCATCGGGTCACCAGGCATGACAGCAGGCACTGGGTCATCAGGCATGGGATTGTCTGGCTCGACAGCGGGCATGGGGTCACCAGGTATGACAGCGGGCACTGGGTCACCAGGCATCAGGTCATTTGGCTCGCCAGCGGGCACCGCGACATCTGGCAAGGCAGTGGGCACCGAGTCACCAGGCACGACAGCGGGCTCCGAGTCAACTGGCATGACTGCGGGCACTGGGTCAGACATTGGATCGTCTGGCCCGACAGCGCGGCATCGGGTCACCAGGCATGACAGCGGGCACTGGGTCATCAGGCATTGGATCGTCTGACTTGACAGCGGGCATCGGGTCACCAGGTATGACAGTGGGCTCCGAGTCACCTAGGCATGACCGCTGCGGGCACTGGGTCAGACATTGGATCGTCTGGCTCGACAGCGGGCATCGGGTCACCAGGCATCAGGTCATTTGGCTCGACAGCGGGCACAGCGTCATCTGGCAAGGCAGGTGGGCACCGAGTCACCAGGCACAACAGTGGGCTCTGAGTCAATTGGCACGACAGCGGGCACCGGGTCATCTGGTGCTGGATCGTCTGGCTCGACAGCGGGGCATCGGGTCACCAGGCATGACAGCGGGCACTGGGTCATCAGGCATTGGATCGTCTGACTCGACAGCGGGCATCGGGTCACCAGGTATGACAGTGGGCTCCGAGTCACCAGGCTATGACCGCGGGCACTGGGTCAGACATTGGATCGTCTGGCTCGACAGCGGGCATCGGGTCACCAGGCATCAGGTCATTTGGCTCGACAGCGGGCACCGCGTCATCTGGCAAGGCAGTGGGCACCGAGTCACCAGGCACAACAGTGGGCTCTGAGTCAATTGGCACGACAGCGGGCACCGGGTCATCTGGCGCTGGATCGTCTGGCTCGACAGCGGGCATCGGGTCACCAGGCATGACAGCGGGCACTGGGTCATCAGGCATTGTATCGTCTGGCTCGAAAGCGGGCATCGGGTCACCAGGTATGACCGCGGGCACTGGGTCATCAGGCATTGGATCGTCTGGCTCGACAGCGGGCATCGGGTCACCAGGCATTATAGTGGGCACCGGGTCATCAGGTACGGATCGTCTGGCTCGACAGCGGGCACTGGGTCATCAGGCGTGATAGGATCATCAGGCTGGATCAGTTCATCAGGCTGGGTACAGACATCAGGCTGGGTACAGGCATCAGGCTGGGTACAGGCATCAGGCTGAAGTGTGGGTGCCGATGGCACCAGGCTGAACACGGAAGGCAGGTTCTCAGATGGCAGGTCTCACCGGTTTTTGGATACTGGCAGGATGGTACTGGTTGGAAAAAATGTCCCGCTTTTTTCTTGGTTTTAACTACTGGGGCACTGCAAGTAGTAAACGCAGGTCTACAAACGAATGGAGCAGCTGAGGACAGAGAAGAGCTGGAAGATGGAAGGGGAGGGGAGGGAGCAGTTGCTACAGAGGAGGGAGCAGTTGCTACAGAGGACTTCTTTACAGGGTTAAAGAAAGGATAGGTGCATAGGTGCAGCGAGTGGGAGCAGAGGACTGGTATGTGGTAGTTAGAGTATACTGGGCAGTCACTAGGGGGTGCTGTCGGGGATGCAGGAAAGAATGCCTTGAGTGGAGGAATGATGTTGTAAGCTGATCTGAGGCTGGGTGCAACAAGTCTGACCATGTCTGCAGTATGGGTTGAACAAAGCTCAGTTTACACAAAGCCTGTCTGGTCAATGACTGCACTGCGCGTTTATACAATCTCTTAGTACCTGTGGTGAACATGCAGAATAACGCTCCAGAAAGTAATCCACATCATCCTCTAATAACCATACCAGGGACTCTACCTGGTCGGCACTAAATGGCGGCAAAAAATTCATCCCTGCATTCTGGGGCTTGTAGGGGTACCAGATGAAACCAACTCAGCACAAACCTGAATCAATGGCTGCACCTCAGAGGACTCTGTGCCCTGATCTACTAGGCAATGAGCGATCCGTATACATTCTAGCAGTTCATCCCTGGGATACTCCATCAGAGTTTGATAAGCATACTCTCTGTCATCAAACACTAGCAGAGATAAATACACAACCTCATCAAGATCCATCCTTCCCAGCAACAAGCCAAGATGGCTTCCCTGTGCAGCCACTTCTGGTCAGGATTGGCCTTGGTGTAATGTCAGGGCTCCCGGGTATGACCAGAGGTATGTGAACTGACGCAGGGAAACGCAGGCTTCAGATAAGTTATAAACAAATAATTTTTATTAAAGACTAACAATACAAATATAAACGCAGTGCAATGCTAAAACATAACACAGTGCAAACGAACCAAACCAAACCACCCACAGATAACAGTACATACAATGCAAGCGTCGTCAGGCAGGCCGGGTCAATAACAATCGGGCAGGTAGGTACAGGGGGTCAGGCAGAGAATGGTCGGGGTGACAAGCCAGGGATAAAACAGGAGAAGTCAGCAGAGGTCCGGATCAGGCAGGGTCAGCAACGAATCAGACAGGGACAGGGACAGGAACAGGAGGAACAGGAATGCAGGAACAAGATACAGGGCCCAGGAAAAAAACACACACCAAGGCAGAGACTGCAGGTCTGGCCATCCCTTAAATACACCTGCATAATCAACTTCAGGTGTTTGGCTGGCTGCAGTGTTGAGTCTCTGATTGCTGGGAGCACCCTCTGGCCAGCCCTGGTACTGCAGCCCACAAGGCAGGTGAGTCCCACCATTACTGGCAAGTCCATTCCTGACACCGCTCCTTGAGGGGGGGTACTCTCAGGAATGGACTTGCCAGTAATGGTGGGACTCACCTGCCTTGTGGGCTGCGGTACCAGGGCTGGCCAGCGGGTGCTCTCAGCAATCAGAGACTCAACCCTGCAGTCAGCCAAAACACCTGAGGCTGATCACAGGTGTATTTAAGGGATGGCTAGACCTGCAGTCTGTGCCTTGGTGTGTGTTTTTCTATGGGCCCCTGTATCTTGTTACCTGCATTCCTGTTCCTGGTCCTGTTCCTGTCTGACTGATTCGTTGCCGACCCTGCCTGATCCGGACCTCTGCTGACTTCTCCTGTTTTATCTCTGGCTTGTGACCCCGACCATTCTCTGCCTGACCCCCTGTACCTACCTGCCCGTTAGTTGCTGTACCCGGCTCGTGACCTGACTACTCTCTGCCTGCTCCTCCTGTTCCTACCTGCATTGTGTTATGTTTTAGTATTGCACTGCGTTTATGTATTGTTAGTATTAATAAAATATATTGTTTATAACTTATCTGAAGCCTGCGTTTCCCTGCGTCAGTTCACATACCTCTGGTCATACCCTGGAGCCCTGACAGTGACAGTCATCACTTCAACTAAGAAGTCGAAAATTCAGGGGGCTCTTGATACCAAGCCAAGTACAGTGTCACAAGTTAGCCTGCAGCTTCTTGATTGTGTATTCTTACCTCCTTGCTGCAGTGTCGTTCCATTTCACATGTGTGTTTGTCTTTGCTCACCTATGGGCATCGTCTGCTGTCCTCTGGGTTTTATTTTATTCCCTTCCATCACTTCCTGGCCCCCCTCCTTGTTTGCCTGCCTATATAAGACATGCTCAGTCTAGGCCACTTTGCCTAAGCAACTTCCTAGTTGTCTGAGCTCCTGTGGATCTCCTGTATCCTGCATTGCCTACTTGTGTACTGACCCGTCTTCGTTCTCTGACTATGCATGTTTTCCGCCTGTCCTGACCTCGGCTAGTCTATCGGTCTTTTGTTTGTCTCCTCCCATTATACTCTGCTCCTGTGAGCGGTCTCCTCATCCTCAGCTGGGTATACCTGGGGGCCGTGACCTGGTCCCAGCTTGCTACAAGTCCATCCCCACCATCAGGGGCTCTGGAAAAGGAGCAGGCTGGGGCTTAGACTCCACGCCTTGGGGAACCCCAAGTTGACAATCTACAAGGGCTCACTACCACAGGTGCTGACATACAGGTAGACCAAGAAAGATTGCAGCCACAACTGCCAGAAGAATTGTTTGGGATACAAAGGGAAACCCATAGGTAACCACAAGAAAAATACAGGCTGCTCTGGAAAAAGACAGTGTGGTTGTTTTGAAGGAGCACAATATGATGACACTTAGCTGCATGGTCAAGGTGCCATAAAGAAGCCTTTACTGCATCAATGACACAAAAAGGCCTGGTTAGGCATGTCAAGGTGTTGTCAGGCATTCCAAAAACAAACAAAACCAGCGCTCAAATCTTCATGCAGACTAAAGGGTATTCGGATTGCCAAACTGTAAGGTGCAGCCCTTCAAAGATCGGGAAATCTTGGTACTGGTAAACAAAAGCAAGCTAGGGTGCACTCTCATCGTGCATTACCGTAGTACACCACGTATTTATTAGGAAATCAAATAGATATATACTCATAAACCAAAAGAGAATAAAAACAGAACAGGTGGTCCGCAATATCAGTCCAATGCAATACTGCGCCCTAAATAGGGATTACCTGACGCGTTTCGGGAGACAAACTCCCTTCTTCAGAGCTAAAGTGTATTCTTGCTGATCAGGATAGTTTGATAGTTCCTCTCTGATCCCCATGGCTCAGTATCTAGCCTAGTCAGTGCTTCCATGTAAGAGCTAACAAACTCATCATTGACTATACACTGATACTAATTGCAATTTAAAAAGTCACAGACGTGGGACATTAACCTCTAATTGACATTTTAACCTGTGTGTGTCACCTTGTGTGTCTGTACTAAGGCCAAACAATCCAGGGTATGTAAACTTTTGATCATGGATATTTGGGTGATTTCTGTTATCATTATGATTTAAAAAGGAGCCAAACAACTATTTGATAATAAATGGCTTCATATGATCATCATCCTTCAATGAAAGAGCATTTTTTTTTGCATGATCAGTCATATTTTCAATATCAATGCCAAAATTTCACAATTTTTGTTTTATTACTTAAATTTTTATTTGGTTATTATACAAAAAGAAGTAAGGTAAATTACATCGACAGTAATAATATACTATTCCTATACAATCCATTACCCCCTCTCCCGACCCCCTCCCCCCTCCCCCCCTCTCCCCCACCCTTCACATTCCAATTCTTTCCTCTATCTGTATTAAGGTCTCTTTATCTTTATCTTATAAGCCAAGAAAACTTCTTTATAGCTTCTGTACTACCACCCTTGCTCTCATTAATTCTGTGTATGTTTCCGAAGATTTAAATTTCATCCAACTACTCCATATTTTCTTAAACTTTTCCATTTTATCTTTTTCCATATAACATAGTTCCTCCATTCTAACAATACTCTCAACTCTATTAATCCACTCTCCAATTTTTTGGTACCTCTATCACCTGCCAAAACTTAGGAATCAAACCCTTAGCCGCACTTATCAAGTGGTACAAAACTTTGTTTTTATATAGTTCCAATGTTGGCTCAAAATAATAAAATAAGCATTTCCACGGATCTCTCTGAATGTTTACCTCACATATTTCCTGAATAAGTTGAGCTATTTCCTTCCAGTAATTCTGTATATTCGGGCAACTCCACCATATGTGCGCCATTAAATAATCAAAGTGCAGCGCTAAGAAAAGTATGTATGTGACTGAAAATAGCAGAAAGTCAATAAAGTATCCACAGTGTT